AAGCCATACCAAGTGTTGATTGTGGAAAGACAGTGGTAACGCAAGCCATATCAAGTGTTGTTCGTGCACAGACCGTGGTAACGCAAGCCGTAGCAAGTGTTGATTGTTTGATATGGCTTGCGTTACCTCTGTATTTCCACAATCAACAATTGGTATGGCCTGCGTTATCACTGTCTTTGCACCGTAGCATATGTTGGTTGTAGAATAACAGTGATAACGCAGGCCATACCAAGTATTGATTGTGGAAAGACAGTAATATCGCAGGCCATACCAATTGTTGATTGTGGAAAGACAGTGGTAACGCAAGCCATACCAAATGTTGATTGTGGAAAGACAGTGATAACGAAAGCCATACCAAGTGTTGATTGTGCAAAGACAGTGATAACGCAAGCCATACCAAGTGTTGTTCGTGCACAGACCGTGGTAACACAAGCCGTAGCAAGTGTTGATTGTGCAAAGAAAGTGATAACGCAATCCGTATCAAGTGTTGATTGTGCAAGGATATTGGTAACGTAAGCCGTAACAAGTGTCGTTCGTGCAGAGACAGTGTAACGCAAGCTGAAGAAAGTGTTCTTTGGTATTCCTCTTTCAAACAAACACTCTCAATCAGATTTACTGTTAATTTTCTGAAGATGTGGCAATGTTTTTTAATTCAAGCTACTACGTTGCATATAAATGTAATAATGCAAGTAAGAGTAATTTATTGTGAAGACAAAATGACAATAGAAAACTATACTCTATCTTTTTATCGTGTAGATATTGTATTGTAAAAAAAAAAGTTACAAAGCACCAAAAACGTACTGTAAAACCTGATAATTACTACTTCAAAATAGTTTATAATCTTAAAGAAGGAACTTATTTGCGAAAACAGATGTTGAAGACAGTCTCAAACATACATGTTAACCAGAAAATGGAATGACGTAAAGTGAGCAAGAGGTAAAATAATTTGATGATAAGAAATAATAATGTTGGCTTGTTAAACGTCTAAATTTGATGTATGTTTAATAATAAACTATTTTTATTAAGCCATACCATGTAGAAAGCTACATGATAGGCTATTTGTGCTGTGCCCACTGCGGGTATCAAACCCGATTTTTAGCGTGATAGGCCTTTAGACTTACCGCTGAGTCACCGGGGAAGCGGGGGGCTAGTGCAAATAGGATGTTTATTAAAATCCTTTCTAAAAAATTGGTCTAGTGTTTAGCTTACCAAATTGTGAATCCAACGGTTCATGGTTCGCGTCCCATTGTTGGAAACTCATGTTACTCACTGTGGGGGGTGTGGGTACGATTAGGATAGCTCAAGAGTTGACAGCAGATTTTCTTGAGTAGCTGCCTTCCCCTCTAGTCTATCAGTTCAAAATTAGGGATGACTATCGCTTTTGTAACTTTACGCAAATATTTGAAACAAACAAACTTTATAAAAGTTTCTTTTAGAATCTTGTTTTATGAAATTAAAAACTAGTGGTAAATGAGATATATTTGTAAAATAAGCACATATAGTTCATTGAATAAAGACATGATGGTTAAAAAAGATAAACAGTTCATTAAGTTGAAAACTATGTGTAAAGTTCATGCTATTTATTGGTTTAGTTGTTACTGAGTTGAAACATAGTTTAACGTTATGATGTAAACAAACACGTAAACTTGGTCACAATTAAAACTTTGTCTTGCTACCCATATATTCATGTAGTTTTATCCTGACTGCAAAACCATATTGTTCCACAAACTTTATCCACTGTAGCCGTGGGTGTAACTTTGTGCTGTTACACAAACACTGTAGCCATGGGTGTAGCTTTGTGCTGTTTACATCCACGGCTACAGTATTTGTGTCCTTTATGGTAGCACACAAACACTATAGCCATGGGTGTAATTTTATGGTAGC